CTGCTTCCCTAATTATTTTACATCAAAGTTTATAAAAAACTATTTGTAAAGGACTGAAATATTTATTAAAAACAAATGTTAAAATTGTTCTACGAATTAAATGTATTCCAAAATTTTGTAAAAATATACTTAATACATTTTTCAGACCACCCCTTAAAGTCAGCCCACACGAGGTACAAGAATGTGTGTGACATGTGGCGTTTGGTCGTATTTATGTTTCTGATATACGACAATATTTGAATTGCTAAAATTTTAATTTTGTGATTTATTGTTTAAAAAACAGCATAGTTGATTAAAAAATGTATTCAGTTGAGGAGAAAGTAGCAATAATAAAAATGTTTTATTCAGGCAATAGTGCGCGAATTGTCAGTTCTTTATTTAGCGTAAGATATCCCAATAGACCAATTCCAAGTCATTCAACAATTCAAAGGATTTTACAAAATTTTGAAAATACTGGGACCGTGATTTTTAATTGTACCTGTACAAACAATATTGCTGAGGTACCAAAAAATTTAGAAAATCAAAATGAAATAAATGTATTAACAGCAGTTGTAGAAAATCCTAGAATAAGTTCTCGGACCATTGCAGACCAGTTTAATATTCATAACTCTACGGCCTTAAAAATTTTAAAAAGGAATAAATTCCGTTCATATAAATTTCAATGTCATCATGAACTAATAGAAGGAGCTGCTGAGCGACGGGCGGAATTTTGTTATGAAATGTTAGAGAGGGCTAATGCAGACAGAAATTTTTTAAAAAAGATTTTGTTTAGTGATGAATGTACATTTACATTAAATAATAAACTAAATGTTTAAAATTATAGGATTTGGTCGACAAAAAAGCTGAGGATATTATTGAAAGCCATACCCAATATCGTCGAAAAATAAAAATCTGGTTAGGAATATTTAGACACAATATTATTGGACCATTTTTCTATGAGAAACATTTTAATTCAAAAAAGATTTTAGACGTGTTACAAGAAGAAATTTTACCCAGTCTTGCAGAAATAGCTCCAGATAAAGAAGAAATTTGGTTTCAAGTGGATGGGTGCTCTGTGCACAATAACTGGGAGGTTAAGGAATTCCTTAAAAACAGCTTTTATAATTGTTTGATTGGACCTGACTGTAATATTAAGTGGCCCCTGAGATCGGGAGATCTAGCTCCAAACGATTATTTTATCTGGGGTCATTTAAAACCAAAAATCTAATTTGACCAAAAATTTACAGATATTGAAGCATTAAAAATTCGAATTATTGAAGAGTGTGTAAAATAACGCCACGCATTCTGGCTAATGTTAGACGAGAATTTTACAATCGAGTGGGATACTGCTTACCAATGCTATACAAAATGGTTTATTGTTGAAAATTTGTTTAGTTTTATGTTTAGAAATTATTATAAATTATTATTAGGAATGATCACAGTAAAACTATATTAAAATTCTTTGAATTATTGTATAACCTGGAATAGAATTAGAGTCTATTATGATATCTTGTGTTAAATAAAGATCTGGCAGTGTTCGCACTATTACCTGAATACAATATTATTGCGATTTTTTGTACACTGAATACATTTCATCAATTTTATTGCTTTGTAAACAATATAATTTATTCATGGATCACTGATCACCAAGGAGAAGGGGCATCAATACATATTGATGCCCCATTTTTTATATTCTTTCTTTAGTTTTCTAAACATGTAGTCCATGTCTTCTATTGAATATATATATTTTAAATAAGGTGGGAGATAGACAACATCCTTGTTTAAGCCCCTTTGTTATTGGAAATGATTCAGATATAAAGTTTCCTTCTTTAACGACACTTCTTGCATTTTTATATATATTTGCGATAGCATTCACATACTCTCTACTGAGACTTACTTTAGTCAATTTTTTTCAAAGGTACCGTATGCCTTCTCTAAATCTACAAACAATAGGTGGGTGGATAGATTCCTTGCCTTCCGTTTTTCGATTACCTGCTGCAGAACGAATATACCATCAGTGCACGATCTTCCTGCACGAAATCCATTTTTTTATTATTCGACCGTACAACCTCCCCACTGAGCTGATAACAGTTATTCCCCTATAATTAGAGCATTTGTGTTTATCCCCTTTCTTGAATATTGAGCTGATGTATCCAATATTCCAATCGTCAGGGATATTTTGTCCTTTTAAGCATTTGTTAAATAGTTGAACCAACAGCTCATGTAATATTTTTGGTCCACACTTTATCAACTCAATTGGAATGTCTCCAGGTCCTGCCGCTTTACCGTTTTTCGATCTTTTGAGGGCATCGTTTAACTCTCCGGTTGTTATCTCAATTATTTGTGTGTGTTCGGATATTTCTTCCATTTCGATCTCTTGGAATTTACATCTATCCTGTCAGTAAGACCTCATAATGGTGTTTGAACTGTTTCAACAGATGCTGTCATACATTTGGTTTTTTCTGCTGATATGTATCATATTGTATTTCTTAGCTGTTGTATTGAAGATATGTGTTAATCTTTGGAGCTCGTCTTCTGTCTCGGCGATTAATGTGGCATCATCTGCATTACACAATATTTTGATTTCTTTGTTCCCCATTCTGTAGCCATGACCTTTACGTACTGCTTGTATTATTTCGTCCATTATATTAAAGAGAAGTGGGCTTAACGAGTCACCCTGTCTGACTCCGCTTTGTACTGGTATACACTGCGTTAGTTTTCCATTTATCTTTGCCTGTATTCGATTATGGAGGTAGATGTTTTCGATGGTTTGTATAATATTGATTGATATGTTTCTTTTATACAGTAGGTGTAAAACGTCTTCGACTTGGACGCGATCGAAAGCCTTTGTCAGGTCTATAAAGCATAGATATGCCGATTTATTGTACTCGATGACCTTTTCTGTTATTTGTCGTAGTACAAATACGGCGTATTTAATAAAGTTATTAGTTTAACATCTTAGTAAAGTTGTTAGTTTAATTATTAATGATAGTTGTTAGTTATAATTGTTGGGGACTTCTTTATTTCCTTTCTTGAACATTGGTATCATTATACTGTTTCTCCATGCATCTGGTATCTTGCAGTGCAATATTAGTTTTTGTATAAGTTTTGTCATCTCTAGAGTTATACTTTGTCCTCCGTGTTTTAGAAGCTCGTTGGTTATTCCGTCTGGTCCAGGGCTCGTATTTTCGAAACCGTTCGAATGGAAGTCGTATGCGAAAGATGATTCGAACGAAAATCGATGATTCGTATTTTCGAGTTGGTTTCGAACGCATCGTATACGACGATTTTCGTACACGACTGCTCGAGTGGGTATTCACCATTCGAATAGCGGTAAACACATGGAGTTTGACATTTCTGACTTTTGCATTTAGTTTGGTTTTTAATTAAACTTTGATGGTACACAAGGCAAATATCTAACACAGTATTTAATCAAATCTTGCCCAAGTACTTTCGATCAAGATCATCTTCAGGGGCATTTCGTCAGTTGTGGCCTATCCAGCAGTAACAGAATGTCATAAATGTAAATTTTGACATAACAAATACACTTAACAAAGTTTGTTTGTCTTTGTTTAGTGTATTTGTTATGTCCCAATTTACATTTATGACATTCTGTTACTGCTGGATAGGCCACAACTGACGAAATGCCCCTGAAGATGATCTTGTGATCGAAAGTACTTGGGCAAGATTTGATTAAATACTGTGTTCGATATTTGCCTTGTGTACCATCAAAGTTCATTTATTCGAACATTCAACCTTATATTGGTTTTTAATTGTTTACATAAGTGAGATGGCCGGCCTAAATTTTTTAATTGAAAGAAATGTTTTAAATGCCTTAGAAGATGCAGAAATGTTAGCGAATGTGGAGAATAGAGTATACCATGCATTTTTAAACCCTCTTGAAGCCTTATCAGACAAACAATTTGTAAAATTATACCGTTTAACAAAGCCTCTGGCAGAGGAACTAATAGAACTTTTGGAGCCCCACTTGGTACCTCCATCTAGGGCATCTGCATTGAGCATACCGAGAAAGATAAGTATAACAAATATTTTTAATTCGACATAGGTATACTGTGAAAATGTTCCCCAAAGCACCCTCCGCTTTGTTCCTTAAGAATAAGCATCCGGGCCAAGTATTTTACATAGAGAGTAATAAAATTGTTTACCTACAATAATTTTTTGCAGGTTTTCTAATCTATTTTCTTCCATAAAATCTATCAGTTCTTTTTTTTTGTTCGGAAGATACAAATCCTCCGAACATGGAATTTTTATTTTCTTTGTCCATATTGGAAACAGAGAAAACAGATAAGTACGAAAACACAAGCCAAAACACGTTAACACTGTGTAGAAAATTGAGCAAATCACAAAAAACTAAAAAACTTCAAGTCTGCTGCAACAAGTAAAATAAACTTGTCAGTCAAATAAATGTCGCCTGTCACCTCTACCTCTTCTTTTCTTAATTTCGTGCGAATTTGCGGCGTTGCCGGTGAATTTGGGTTAACGGATTCTCGTATGCGAATTAAACTTTCGAATTGCGTTCGAAAATACGCTTTTACGTTCGTGCACGATTTTTTTTCGTTCGAACTAATCGCATGCGAATAAATTCGAACACATTCAAAAATACGACCCCTGGTCCATCGATATGTTACACTTGAAATTTCCGAGGGAGTTATATGTGCTTTCTTTAGTTTTCCGGGTTTGACTCGGCGTTGAATAATTTTGGTTTTGATAAAAACCATTATTTCGACGAGGCTTCGAACTTTTCTCGAACGGCTTTTCGACTTTGATGCTTGAAGTTAACTGACTGTGAGTTAACTTCAAGCTTCAGCGAGAAGTGCTACTACCTGACTTGACAATGGCAAGTGCGACCTTAAATAGGATAGGATATAAATTAAAGCCAACATTGTCTAGGTACTGAAAAGTATTATAATATGATACAAATAAAATAAAATATTAATAAGAAAATATCAAAAACAAATACATATTAAAATATTCACATAAATATAATTTTTCCTATTTTTCTAAATTCAGGTTGAACTTAAATAGCAAACGCATTTAAATATACGCAAATCGATAATTTTAACTATCTGGAACAACTATACTGGTAGCTGTAAAGTTTTTAAATTTATTTTGACTACGACGGTGCTTCTGCGGCTTTAAATTCTCTTTCTGCAGGAGTTGCGAGGATGATAATGACTTGGGTATCGATACTGTTATCGATTTCCTTGACATTGTCGATGCTGCTTTGACGGATTCTACAAAATAAGATCGTTTTAAAAACTTCATACAAATTATTGACATAACGATTAAAGAAGATTATTTTATAGCAATATTCACTCAGTAAAAACAAATAAAAAATACAAACAGGAAAATGAATTGGTAAGCTCCAAGAAAATTACAATACAGTAGACTCCCTCTATAACGAGAAGTAAAATGGCAGAGTAATTACCTCGTTATAAGCCGCTAAGACAGACAACAATAATATTGTGCATACATACGAATATGTAGATTTCTAAAACATTAACTTCTTATAGTGAAGCCATTCGGAGCAATATACGATGCTAAATATTGTTTGAATGGCGTTAAAAAAAAGACTTTTATTGTCAATGATATGCGTTAAAACAAAAAATCAAACCTACTTATATTTTTTTCCAACTACATAATGTATAAAGCATATTTTCAAAGATAACATAAACTATTGCTTCTGCAATTGGAAGAAGTCTGTCATTTTTGACTGCTTTAAACTTTAAATTGACCAGTATCATTCTATCTATCATATTTTCTAAAGATGTAAAACAGTTGTATTTATTGTAAAGAAGTTTATTCCGGGCAACAGTTTAGTTTATCGCGGGCGATAGTTAAAAAGGGTATTTATCTATAGCCACGGCCGATCCAAAAACATAAAAAACAGGTTTTCTGGTCTTATTTTCTCTCGTTAAAACCAAATTTACCTCGTTGGAGGGGTGTTGGTGTTATAGTTGAATAGAAATTTCACAGAACATCCAATGTACCTCGTTATAAGCGAAACCTCATAATTAATAACTGTGTTCGTTATAGAGGGAATATGCTGTATTACCTTTATAACCAGTACCATAATTTAATAAATATAGAAACTGCAGCATACTGAAAATACAGAACGTAATTTAGAATATCGTTGATAAGGGAGTGGATGTGTAATATAACCACATATAATAAACAAATTGAAATCACGTCAAAAAAGTCGTTAGAATGGTTTTTCGGTATTGGTGACCAGAGGCAAGCATATGGCAGATCAAATGAAAGGCGAAAGGATGTGAAACATAACCAGAAAGAAAAATAAAAATTTATTTTTAGGTGTTGCGACAATGTGGTTCGTGTATCTTGTGACTGAACCTCTACCTATTTTTACTTCCACCTTTCCTTGTAAGGTAAGTTTCTTGACATTATCCTTTCGAAAACATGTCAAAAGGCTTTTTTGTTCTGTTACTTGTGTTCTTATTGTTGTCTTATAGTTCTTCTCTTCGTCTTCTTTTAAGTAGTCATAACTCTGTCTGTTGTGTCTCCAGTAAGTTGTCGTTCCATCGTTTTCGTGGTCTTCCTACTGATCGTCTTTCTATTGGGGAACCGTCTCTCGCCGTCTTTACGACTCTATTTGTTGTCACTCGGCTTATATAATCGTTACATTCTACTCTTCTATTTCTTACCCAGTTCTTGATGTTCTCCACCTTGCATCTACGTCATATATCTGTACTTCTAGCTCTGACCACTAATTTTTCTAAATGTTTTTATCTGTGCTGTTTCTAATCTAACATCCTTTTGTCCTCTCTGTGTCAGGTCGTGTTTCTGCCGTGTATGTCATTATTGATCTGATGACTGTTTTGTAAATTCTGCCTTTCATTTTTTTCCGGTATTTTTATTTCTCCATACTGTTTTATTGAGGCAACCTGCGTCTCTGTTTGCTATATTCACTTGATCTTCCACTTCTGTTTCGAGCTTTCGTAGCTAGATCGTTTTCAAGCAAATTCAGCTGTTGAGATGCAGCACAAAATGATATGTATATGAAATGATATTGACTCACCAACAATCGCCAACAACAACAAACACAATGCAACAACACAAATAGCATTCGCCAATTATCGAATGAGTTGTGTAAATACAACCAAGAGCATTAGTAAAAAGGCACACCTGAATGATACGGGACCGCTTCGCTTTGCTTCCTACGTTGAATTTTCTTCGGTGAAGTGTTTTAAGTGCAATAACCAATTCCAAGTGGGATCTCAGAGTAAAATACCGTTCGTGCAAATGGATCGCTTTGGCAACGATGGACTTAAATAAACTCGTTGACTACCTTTAGATGCATAGCCAAATTTACAACAGCAAAATGTTATATTAGCTATGTTGTATAGTGAGGCAGAATTCCTCTCATTGTAGCTCACATATCGACCAACTTGATAGCGCGTGATTTCATCGTTGGTATCGGAATTTTGAACGGCAAAAACCGTCGGACACAAATTTAAAAAATTTAAAATCATAAAAACTGGTACGGCCGTACTTAAGTTATTAATAGTGTAACTAACACGATTTACGACTTTATAATACATATATAGAGTTTGTAGCATTTTTCTTTTTTGCTCTGTATGTCATAAAAATCGTTATAGTTCACATACAATTTTGGCTTTTTAAAATAGTAGTCTAAACAACTTCGGAGAGTTTGTTTGTTTTAGCCGAGAGTTAGCAGTTAGTTAGCGAGAACTATTTAATGACTCTTTTCAATCCGGTTTTTTCCTTGTTCCCCTTAGAGATTTTAAAAATAGCAGAATTCGAAATAAGATTTGACAAAATGTAGGGCTTTGCTTTGTACTACTCATTAGACAACACTTGACAACCCTGAGAGCGTGTATTGTGGGAAAATTTGTGAACATGGGACTTTTCGGTTAGATAGGGATAGAAGGATAGAAGAGAAGACCGTTACCTGAGGGAAACCTGCATCAAGATAATACCGGTACATTATGAGTGTGCCATATAATAAAAAAATGAGATTTAGTTCTGGGTTCTCAATATTATCTTTTTTACTGGCCATTGTAGATTGGATAAAAATAATACCGGTATACAATACTTTGTTGATAAAAATCAGCTGCAGTCTATTTTGCTTAAGTTGACGGTAAGCAGAGAAAACGACAAGAATTTTAAACCATAGGTCATCTCATTTATTATTCCATTTTTCTAATGAAGTAAGTTATTCAGGGTATGCTGAATTTTTCTATAATTCAATGTTTTCAAAATGGACTATAGAGGTAGATGGTACAGCTGTCGCCCTTATACAATAAACTTGCCAGTGTCCAGCGAAAGTGTTAATATGTTGGACAGTTTGATTAAATATTTATATTTTTGGTATATTCAGTACTCTAGTAATAAATTTTATTATATTTTTGGTTCGGCTATATTTGTAAGTATATTTTACTAGATAATAAGTTCGATAGAGAATCATTTAATTTAAAACGAAATTCACAATTCTACTTTATAAGATAAGTAGATACTAAACTATCTTAATATAGTAACTATCTATAGATACTCTATAGATAGTTCAAGCACTCTTGACCATGGAGCTGCGCGAAGGCGGAGCCAAATTCAGGTAAAGGCAGAAAGGTTCTATTGTAAGTGGAATTATACAGTGCATAGTACAATGCGTTTCGCACGGAAGTGGGGACTAAGCCAAATTTCGTCTACTGCTCCGTGGTCAAGAGTGCTTACACGCACTATACCCAGTTATAAAGGTATTCCATATATTTTTAGAAATATTTGTTTAAAATCTGATTTGTTTTAATTTATATTTTTGATTTTGCTATTTGCAAAATTTGCTATTTGTTTGGTTTAGGTTTATTTTGTTAATATATTGATATCTTGGCTGAACTTTCCACCAATCAGAAATAAAAGTTATTAATTAGTAGCAATTATTTATTTATTACTCTCCCATAATCTTCTTTTATGAAATGTGACAGGAATGTGGAACAAACATATGTATAAGTTATGTGTGTTTGTTTTTTTCTTGGACTCTAGATGGCCATCTAGAGCCCATACTGAGCCCATCGTCTGAGGCTCATCAACCCCATTGGAAGTCTTACGTTGCTACAGGGTATCTGTTAATATATTTAACATCACACCAACTTTTGAACAAAAATATAATAAATAACAAATTTTATACCATTTTAAGGTTCTTATAGAAATATTTAATGGGTAAATGCACTTATGATTGACTAGTAATTCCGAAAACGTTCTGTTGTGACGTAGCCTGAAAGGGTCTTTTTAATTTGTATATACCTTTATAAGTGATTTTTAAATAAAATTTTGGGATTTATAAAATACAGCCAACTACAGGAATTTTATTTTCCTTGTGGAAAACGTAAAGTTTTTATAACGCTTATAAAGAGTAACATTTGTTCAATCAGCCTACCTGTCTCCTTCAATGCTGCAGTTTTAAGGTCTTCAGTAATGCCGGAATTAGTCAACGATTCAGTGAAGTTGACCTATCCGGTGACTTCGTTTAACATCTGTCCAGCTTTTCCCTGGCGAGTTTAGAAAAAATACTAGATATCCTCAGAAAATATACAATAATCCAATTAGCTTCATAACGATCGACATAGAAGGGACAGACAGCATCCAGGGAACAAAGGTGTCAATTCGCTTTTGGAGATGATACCTAAAAAGTAAAATATATTTTCTATTTGTAAGTCATATAAATCTAAAGTACTAAAAAACCTAAATAGTTAAAGGCTTCCAAAGATCTGAAAAAATCCAAAGGTTCTTAACTTTATTTCAATTCAACAAAACATATTTTGAATACAAATTTATTAAAATAAGGAAAACAATTACAACTTTTTTGGATTTCAAACTTAACTGAATACTAACGAAATACAAGAAAAATGATGGGCGAACTTCAAAAAGTAAAATAAAAATGTACCTAATAACATTGTTACAGGTCACATGAGGTATGTAATCAAATACTTTACTTTTGTAAAGCTTGTTTGCTTGCTTTCACTGAAGCGAAGTTTTCGATATCATATATATATATATATATATATATATATATATATATATATATATATATATATATATATATATATATATTATATATATATATATATATATATATATATATATATATATATATATATATATATATATCTTCTTCTTCGGGTTCCTTCTCCTAGCGGAGGTTGGAAATCATCATCGCTATTTTAACTTTGTTGGCCGCATTTCTGAATAATTCTAATGAGCTGCAGCCGAACCACTCTCTCAAATTTCTTAGCCAGGACATTTTGCGTCGTCCTGGGTTTCTCTTCCCTTGTATCTTCCCTTGCATAATCAACCTCAGTAATACGTACTTCTCACCCCTCATTAAATGTCCCAGATATTGAATCTTTCTAATTTTAACAGTTTTTATGACTTCACATTCTTTCTTCATTCTTTGTAACACCTCTATATTAGTTACTTTTTCAATCCACGATATTTTATGCATTCTCCTGTAGCACCACATCTCAAAGGAGTTTAATTTTTTGATTTCAGACTGCTTTATTGTCCACGCTTCCATGCCATATAGTAAAGTAGAGAAGACGTAACAACGTAGCATTCTTGTGCGAATCTCTAGATTAAGGTTACGGTTGCAAAGTAATTTCTTCAATTTTATGAACGTGTTTCTTGCCATTTCTATTCTAGATCTGATCTCCTTTACTTGATCTCCATCTTCGGTTAGCCACGTTCCTAAATATTTATATGTTTTTACTCTTTCTATCGTTGTATTATTGATGATCAGGTTATTTACATTTTGTGGTTTTTTTGAGAATATCATTGATTTCGTTTTCTTGAGATTCATTTGCAGTCCGTAACTTTCACATGCATTGTATACATGTTGTATTATGTACTGTAGATCTTCCATGTCACTTGCAAATATGACAGTATCGTCGGCATATCTAATATTATTAATGCTATTTCCGTTGACATAAATACCTTCCACGATATCCAATAAAGCCTCTTGAAAAATCACTTCACTGTAGACGTTGAATAAGAGTGGTGAAAGGATACACCCTTGTCGAACTCCTCTAAGTATACTTACTTCCTCTGTCAGTTCTCCTTCGACTCTTACTCTTGCTTTCTGGTTTTGATACAGATTCGATATAATTTGTAGATCTCTACTATCAATGTTTTTAGTCTTAAGAATACAGAATATATATATATATATATATATATATATATATATATATATATATATATATATATATATCTGAACCTCAGAGCCAAACAGTCTTAAGTCCACTTTTTTCCTATTTTTAGGTTATTATTGTTCCTGTAGTATTTTTTCCGCCCCATTCCAATGGCAATGCGTATTAAGTCCAATTTCTTTTCGTTTTCGAGATAGGTGTAGATTATATATGTTAAGTCCTCTATTAAATAGAACCAAACGGTATTAAAGGTTTTCGATACTGTTTGGCCCTAAATGATATCCAATATGTAGGTATTAAGTCCAGATGTGAGGTTAGTTAACTGGACTTAATACTGTGTTGTTTTAGTGTACATCAGTTGTCAGAATATTAAGTCACATTATTTTGTTCGTTCAGTTAACAGAAAAAACGTGATAAAGGCGCTGTTTTAATATTTAATAAGTGTATATGGACAATATGATGACATCGAGAGGCCAAAAAATATTACAAATTACACTAGCACAAGCCCAGTGCAACGAAATATCTGAAAAACCTGTTATAACCTTACATTTGCCCGAGGAGAACGGTAATTAAATTACATGAAATGTGTGTATCAAAACAAATTTTATTATTTTTTCAATTTTAGCTTTTGTTGCTGTTGCTGCTAACGCCGAAGAAGCTGAGATCGTTATGGAAATATATCCAACCACTAATAGCGTGAAGGACATCCCTCATGAAAATTTGAAAGTTCTTGCAACTGGATGTGACAATGTTACAGGGGATATTATTGCTTTGAATAATGATGTGTACAATACCATATTTTTTAGTAAAAATAATGTGCCTTCTTCCAATAGCGAAGAAATTCTGAGAGAAAATATAGACGGGTGTGAACTACCAGATAATTCACTAGAACATTTTGTTCAAAACAGTGAAAAGCATAAAAATAACGAATTCGAAACATCTTCACAAATTATTGTTCAACATGATGACGATAGACCTTACTATAGAGCAGCTGAAGTAGGTGCAAGTGTGTTACATAAAGAAGTCTATACTGAAGCTGAAGATCCATCTTATCTACCTAATGAAAGCAGTGATACAAATGAACTAGAAGAACAAGAGGAAGAAGTAGAAATACAAGACACTAAAGGAAAGAAAAGAAAAAGAAATACTACCAATTGGAAGAAAAACTTTAGAAAGCAGAAGAAAGCTGCTGGTGAAGAATATCTGTCAGCCACCAATAAGCTTATTGGAAAAAATAAAATGAGACCACCTTGTCGTGATGAATGTAGAAAGCAGTGCAAACAGAATATATCAGTTGAGAGTCGTGCTCTAATTCACTCACAATTTTGGAATGGTACCATCGAACTTGACCAAAAAAGACAATTTATAGCTAGCTGTATCGAAGAAGTTCCAGTTGAGCGTGTACGTGCTAGAACGGGATCTCGTGCTGGAAAAAGAATAACGTCGTTGAAGTATTTTTTAAGTGTAAATGGTAAGAGGCTAAGTGTGTGTCGTACTTATTTTCTTAACACCTTAAATATTTCACAAACTACTGTACGTAACGCATTAACGAAAAGACAACTTGGGGGAATTGTAATACCTGATCAAAGGAGTAAACATGAACCCTCTAATAAAATATCCGCGAACATAAGAAACATTATCAGGGAGCACATACAGAAGTTCCCGTGTATAGAGTCACATTACTCCAGGAATAAATCCCAGAGGAAGTATTTAGGGAGCCATCTCAATATTTCTATAATGTATCGGTGCTTCTATGAGGATTATCTAGAACGTCAAATTCCTAAAGAACATATTCCCAAGCAGTGGTTATATAATGAAATTTTCAATTCTGAATTTAATTTAGCCTTCAAAGAGCCAGAAAATGATACATGTGACACATGTGATGGGTATGTTATCAAACTCAAAGATTCTGTATCCTTTGAAGAACGCCTTGAATTACAAACTAACTATGACTCTCATCTTTTTGATGCAGATCATCGGTACAAACTAAAGCGACAGGATAAAGAGACTTTTAAAACTGAAGCGAACACCAAAATACTTTCGGTGGATTTACAAAAATGTTTACCCACTCCTCTACTAACGAATGCTCAGAGCTTCTATTCTCTAAAGCTATGGACTTTCAATTATACTGTATATGATGCAATAGAGAAATTAGGATATTGTTTCACCTGGGATGAATCTATAGCCGGACGTGGTGGAAATGAAATGGCTTCATGCCTTCTGAAATACATTAATTTAAATGTAAAAGAATCAGTAGAAAGGATTGTTATCTGGAGTGACAACTGTCCATCACAAAATAGAAATATTCAAATGATTATGTGCTATCTTTCGATTCTTAAGCTGAAACCGTCCATAAAATGCATTGAGCATAAGTACCTTTTAAGAGGACATACTCACATGGAGGTGGATACAATTCATGCACGAATAGAAAGACAGAAGAAGGCTTCCAGTCAATTTTCGTTAACAACTCCGTGGGATTGGCGACAGCTTTTCAGACTTTGTGACAATAAATTGGAGGTAGCGGAAATGGAAACCATGGACTTTAAGAACTTTACTCAGTTATCTAAAGAATCCAGATCTTATTTTCAAAATAACAAAAAAACGATAACTAATCAAAACTTTTTAATATCTAAAGTTGTTCACATGAAGTTTTTAGCAGAAACACCTGGAGTTTTACATTTTAAAACAAATTTTAATCAAGAGAATTTTGAACAAGTTGATTTCAATAGAGCAGCCAAAAGACTACCACGCAAAGGAAAATGTAATGATAATTCTAAGGAAGTTGTTCTCCATGCCAATTTAATTTTGAAACCAATAAGAGACACACTTAAGCCCATTTCGACTAAAAAATATAATGACTTGCAGAACTTATTACAATGGGTGCCTAAAAGATTCCATGAATACTTTAAAAATCTTCCACATGGTAACCTCAAGGATGACGACTAAAAATTACAATGATATTTGTTATGAATTTTCTGTTTTAAGTTAGTTTATTATTCCTTTGTAACATTTAGGTCTGATTTCATTTATTTTAAAAAATAAATATTTTTGGTGTCTTTTTGCGTTTTACTATTTAATTGGAATTGATATAATGCTGTTTGTACTTTGCATTGTTCTACTGTAAGTTTCTTAATTAATAGTAGTATCTAGTCCATCGTATCTACAGATTAGTACGAGCCAAACAGTATTAAGTAACAAAATATGGTATTAAGTCACAAGATATTAAGTCCATTATTAGAACCAAAGAGTATTAAGTCCCAATATTAATTTAAAATTATTTAAATAAGTTAAAGTAAGAGGTTAGTTATTATTAGCTTTGTTTAACTTTAAAAAACATAAATGGGAAAATAATAATCCGTGTACTCCTATTTACAATAGGAATTCGTTCGAAAAATACCATTTTTCAAAATCTTCAAATTGCTCTCCTGTAAAATTTAAAATACAGGACTTAATACCGTTTGGCTCTGAGGTCCAGATATAT